GGGATTTGGGTTTTCTTTACATGAATTATAATCCATACCAAAAGCTACAATCCTTGCAATCTGTTGTTTGTTTCTTGACTGCTATTCCCTTGGATGTTGATTATTGATTTCCACAGAAAACAAAATCCTTAACAACTTTAATCTTTTCTCTGTTTATGATACTGTTGTTTATTGGTCCAGTTGTGAGAATTTTTATTTTCTTTATATTGAGGTGTAAAAAGAGCCCACGTAGTGTATTGAGTTATGCTTTGACCTGCTAACTAGAAGGTTAGGGGTTCGAACCAACCAGTTGCTTTGTGTAAAAAAGACAAGAATTTCTACTCGTTCTGGTAAAGATTTACAGCTTCAAAAAACAACAGGGGCTGTTTTGCTCTGAGGTATAAGGTCTCTGAGTCAAAATAGGCTCAATGGCACTGAGTTTTTTGTTTTTGATTTTCAGTAATTCTAACTAAAGGCTTTTGTAATCTATCCTGACTTTGATATTTACCAGTAAGTGCGGCACATTCTTTTAGCTTTCAAGCAAACTAGGTTGAAAACTACATATTGTAGGTTCTTAGTCTTCCTCCAATCCCATAATCTGCTTCTCAGATTTTTCTGCTCAACATACAGATTGCATAATTAAGGTAAGAGGATACAACTCGGACACACTTTTGTTGATTTTAAACCATGCAGTATTCCCTTGTTCTGTTCACACAACTGCCTCTTGACCCTTGTATAGTTTCCACTGAGCACAAGTATTCTGGAACTGACATCCTTCATTGAGTATCATGTTTAAATTTGCTGATCCCTCCTTGAACTGCTCTACCTACCATAATCACTTATCAACCTATAACACAATAAATAATTTATTATTACTTTGTTTACTGCCTGATTGCTAAAATGTAAACTTCAAGAAGGCAGGGATCTTTGCTATATTCCCTTATCTGCCTGAAACACCTTGTTCAACAAAGCATACAAAATAGGTGGTCAACACCCATTTGGTGTATAAATGAATAAAATAAGTTAAATGAAGTGTTAAAAATAAGCAAGAATAGGAAAAGGGGAGAGAATCGTTTACGCAGAAGGAATGTAGGATTCCTGTGGTAAGAGGAAAACCTTGACCCAAGTAGAAAAGAATTCTAAAAGATGAAAGTGCACAAAGGGCAATGGTCAAATAATGAAGGACATCTGAGTCTCTTTAAGGAGTTCCCACTTCATTTTGAGGAATAAAAAGCCACTGAAAGGTAATGGCATGATTTGCATTTTATAAACTTCTAAGCAACGTGGTATAAATTTAAAAGAGGTAAGAAGAGTATGTGCAAACAGGCCAAATAATGAAATTATTACAATAATCTAGACCACAAAAATGAGGATAGCTTAGAAAGTGGTAATAACGATGATAAACTAAAATGTTGCTACATGTGAAATTATGAAAATAACAGTAAATACTATAAAAATGAATGTTGAAAAGCAACATTTTAAAAGTTTCTGACAAATACCACAGAATGACTTTACGATCTTGGAGTTGGAAAACATTTCAAAGGGCACAAAAAGCATTAACTATGCATTGGCCTATATTAAATTTTAACATTGTTGGTTATTAAAAGGTATCATTACACACTAAAAAGAAAAAAAAAGACAAACCCACTGCCAAGTTGATTCTGACTCTTGGAGATTCTTTATAGGGTTTCTAAAGCTGTATATCTTTATGGGAGTGAGTAACCATCTCTTTCTCCTGTGGAGGGGCTGGTAGGTTAGAACAGCCAATTGTGGTTAGCAGGCCGATGCTTATGCAAGCCCCGGAGTAGTAGAAAATATTTGGAATAAACATATACAACAAAGGATTCAAAACCAGACAGAAAATTCCTACAAATCAGTAAGAAAAAAGACCAATAATTCAACAGAAAAATGGACAAGAAACTTGGATACATCACAAGATAGCAAAATGAACAATAAGTTTATGAAAAGGTACTACTTAATTGGTAACACTGTTACTAATAAGGAAAAAGTGAATGTAATAATATTCAGTACCACTACACACAGACTACTACAGCTAAATTTATTAGTAAACAGATTAACAAAGACAAATGTTGGCAAAGGTATGTAGCAACTAAAATTCACAATATTGGTAGTAGTCATGAAAACAGACACAATCATTTTGCAAAACTATTGGTATTAACTGAAAAGATTAATCATATGCAAGCCAATTTATCTTTACACAACAGAAACGCACATACAAGTGACCAAAGACATAACAGGCACATCTACTATACAACTGTCTTAAAAATGCAAATTTATGAGAGATATATGAGGGTAAGTCAAAAGGTGTTATTACTGGGGTACCAGTTTACACATGCATGAGTGTGTTTAAACATGATGCTGCAGACAAGTTCTCTCAGTGATATATTTGTCTAAGTCTCATTAGGGTACCTTCAAAAAAATACAATTTTGAGGCCAGAGCTTATATATCAATGTTTTAACAAAACTCAAGGAGGCATCTTTCCAAATCACTGAAGCTATGCTGTCCCATATAAATAAAATTTTCAAAAGAATCAAGTATTTTAAGGAAGGTCAGGAAGACCTCAAAGATGAACCATGAAAAAGAAGACTATCAACCTTAGTAAATGAAGAAAACGGTAGCTGAAGTCCAAAACTGGCCAAAAGACCGTTAATGTGATAGCTACTGAAGTTGGAATCTCGCATGGTTCAACATTTCCGACGGAAGTAAGCATAAGGGCCTCAACAAGCTTTCTGCCCCATGGGTTCCAAAAGCATTGCATGAAGATCAGCTGGCTCAAGGAGCTATTATTTCCTTACTCTTTTTAGCAAGAGCAAAGTTAATTAAGAAAATTTTCAAGAAAAAGTCGTAGCAGCAATAAGCCTTAAGAGTCGTTACTAGTCAAGAGTTAGGTCCAATCAAAACAACGGCTTCCAAGCTGGCTGATTTGGTGGGACAGTGAAACTTAAGTCAGAGAACTCAGTTCAGAAGGTTATGGTGACTATTTGGGGGATCCAAAAGATACAAACAAGCTTGGTGGATTTTTTTTCAAAGTACACAAGATGATCAAAGGAGCTGATTAGAGGAAAAAGTTTTAAGAACTCTGAACCTGCGTTGATGAGAAAAATGCAGGAAACGTTGTGGCATAATATTTTTTTTCCATCACAACAACACACCTGCTCATTCTTCAAGGGTAAAAAAGGCTGTGCAACAAAATTTTTATAAGGTAACCTAACACCAACCATGTTTGGCTTTGATCTTGTCTCTCCAGACTTCTTTATTCACTAAATGCAAAGAACTTTGAAAAGGAACTCTATTTGATTCCCTGGAGAATGCCAAAACTGCCAATTGACATGGTATAAACTGAAGAGTGCAGAATTGTTCAGATAAGGATTACAGAATGGAAACTCTGCCTAAAGAAGTGTACAAATGGATGATATGCAGAAAAACAACAGCTTCATATTTTAACATTTTTAAATAAAACTGTCAATGATTTTGTAGCAATTATTTTTTCCTTATTTCTCTTTTAAAATCACAGAACAGTGTTTGATAATCTCTGATACTTCTTACTCTAAAATTATTTTAACTCCACATTACTTAAATCTGCTGCACAAGATCTCTTGAAAGTGTTGAAAAGCAAGGTTTCTTTGAGGACTAAGGTGAGCTTGTATTTTCTATTTCTTCATATGCATGTTTGGTAGAGGGGCAGCAAAGGAGAGGTAGACTCTCAAGGTGATGGACTGACATCATGCCTGCAACAATGTACTTAGTCATAGGAACAATTGTGAGGATGGCACAGGATGGGCAGTATTTTGTTCTGCTGTGCATAAGGTCTCTATGGGCCGAAACCAACTAGACAGCACTTAACAACATACCCAAATGAAAGTTGAGCGTTGAATAAGTAAGACTGAAGAAGAATCCATGCATTTGAATTACGGTGCTGGTGAAGAATACTGAAACTACCATAAACTGCCAAGAGACCAAACAAATCTGTCTTGGAAGAAGTATAGCCAGAATGCTCCTTAGAGCATTGGCAAGACTTCATCTAACGTATTTTGGACATGTTGCCAAGAGACTAGTGCCTGGAAGACAGTATCATGCTTTGTAAAGTAGAGGGACAGGAAAAAGAGGCAGACTTGACAAGCTAGACTGACACAGTGGCTGCAAAGGAATCGAACACAGCAACAACTAGGAGGCGATGTTTCATTCCGTGGTGCATAGCATATCTGTAAGTCAGAACTCACTTGAAAGCACCTAACAACAAACATGACTTAACAAGAGAAAAATGAACTACCTATCTCATTACCGAAATGATAATCTGATCGCTACCTACCACCACTTATCTATCCTTAATTACTCCGAAAACAGATTAAATTTTTGAGGCACTGTCTATAGTTAATGAAAGTACTAAATAGAAGACACTATAATCAAATTCAGACAACTACTTTCAAATAGCTCTCAAGCACAAGCATTTTTACAAAATGCTTCCTTTCCTATCTCTATTAAATCCAAATCTGTTGACAAGAATGTAGCACAGCAAAAAAGAATATTAAAAGAATTATGAAAATTCAAAGAAATAAACATGTTTGACAACAGGAAAATACAGAAACCAATGCTGGCCTGATGGTTTGTTGACCAGTTTCCAGTAAGTTTTAATAATGTAATCCTTTGGGTCAATAACCAGATAAGCTTTGGGATAAATGAATAAAGCGCTCAGATCACAAAACTAGATTCTACTTCTCAGGGTGGTATCTTAGAGGAAGACTTTCTTTTCAAAGTAGTTTCCAAACAAATGGAGTCTCTTCGAGGTCTATCAGTTATTTTTCAGTAGTCTAAAATAAGTATTTCGGACTATTCATGATATATTAATAAGAACACCAGAAATTGGGCTTTTATTTTCAAATATATTTTAATTAAATCCTCTATTCCATTTCGATTTCCACAAAGTATTCATTTTAATAAAATAAATTAGCCCAAATAAACTGATCACTAAAAAACAATTCCAGAAAAAACTTCTTCTTACCTCTCCAATAGGGCTAAGGCTGTTCTGAAGTGTTTCTGAAGTCACAGTGGTGCTTGGCAGGCTGGGAACTTCCCAAGTATTCACAGGCTGTATTGGTTCAGATTGCTGTGAACGATCTGGACATTTTGGATTGTCCAGTAAGGTCACTTCATAAAACTCTTGAATATCTGAAAGGAAAGGAAAATTTCAAAAGTATGTTTATCCTTTATTTTAACTATATAATGTTAGAGCAATGTAATTCAAAGCAAAATGTTTACTCTGAATTTGAGAAATAAATTCAATATAATAATGTTATTTAAATAGTGACTATATTCTCATTTCATTATATCACAATCCTATGAGCCTACATAGCATAGTATAAAAATCATTGGTTTTAAAGTGCTAGGCTAAAATTCCCACTCTCTCACAAATTAGCTACATATTTAGGCCAATTATTCAATTTCTGGTAACTTGCCTATCATTAAGGATTGTTGCAAGGATTGGGTGACATATATAAAGGAGTTAGTTAGCCCACAGCACATAACAGACTCAATAAAACAGATGGTGATGTTAGGTGTTGTCCAGTCGATTCTGACTCACAGCAACATTGTGTACAATTACAGAAAACACTGCATGGTCCTGAGCCATCCTCACAATTACTATGCCGGTGCCCATTGTGCCAATTACTCTCAATAAGGGTCTTTTTTCACTGACCTTCACCTTTACCAAGCATGTGGCTGTTTTCCAGGGACTTGTCGCTCTTAACATGTCCAAAGTACATGAGAGAAATTCTAGCCATGCTCACTTCTAAGGAGCATGCTGGCTATACTTCCAAAGTATATTTGTTTCTTCTTCTGGCAGTCCATGGTATTTTCAGTATTCTTTAACACTGGAATTCAAATTCTTCCTCAGTCTGCTTCATTCATTGTCTAGCTTCCACATGCATCTGAAACAACTGAAAATACTATTGCATGGGTCAGGGACACCTTTAGTCCTCAAAGTGACATTCTTGCTTAATGGAGTTTTGTGGAATGGAATGGCCCAATGGAAAACATGGCTTGATTTCTTAACTGCTGCTTCCTTGAGCACTGATTATGGATCCAAGCAAGATAAAATCACTGACTTTTAAAAATCTTTTCTTGGTGGATCATGATGTTACCTACTGATCCAGCTGTAAAGATTTTGGTTTTCTTTACACTGAGTTGCAATTCATACTAAAGGTTGCGCTCCTTGATCTTCATTAGCAAATGCTTCAAATCTTCACTTTCAGCACAAAAGCTTGTTTTCTGAGTTAACAAACCTTCCAATTCTGATGTCAAGTACTTCATACAGTCCAGTCTTATCAGATTATCTCCTTAGCATACCAATTTAGTAAGTATCGTGTGTAAATACCAGCCTGACGCACACCTTTCCTAATTTTAAATCACCCAGTATCCCTGTATTCTGTTGGAACAAATGCCTCTTGGTCTATGTACAGCTTCTGTACAGGCACAATATTCATAGGAATTCCCATTCTTCTCAATGCCGCCCATAGATTGAATGATCCGCACAAGTGAATACCTTTGCATAGTCAATAAAACACAAACATCTTATTGGTAGTCTCTTTCAATCAAGATCCATCTAACATCAGCACTAACCTTCCTCATTACATGTCCTTTTCTGAATCCCAAGTGAATTTTTGGAAATCTATCCAAGTGCTATTGCATTAGCTTCAGCAAAATTTTACTGTCATGTGACACTAATGATATTGATAATTTCTGCATTCTGTTTGGCCATCTTTGTGTGGAATGAGTATATATAATATAGTCTCATCCTGTTGGCTGGCCAGCTAAAATCCATGCACCTGAATTGTGGTGCTGGAGAAGAATACTGAAATCACCATAGAATGTTAAAGGGACAAACCAATATGCCATGAAAGTACAGCCAGAGTGCTCCTTAGAGGCAAGGATGGTGAGACTTCATCTTACATGCTTTGGACATGTTGTCAGAAAAGACCAGTCTCTGCAGAAGGACAGCATGCTTGGCAAAGTAGAGCAGCAAAAAAAGGAAGGCCTTCAAGGAGACGGACTGATAGTGGTGCAACAATTGTCTCACACATAACAAATTGTGAGGATGGCAAGACCTGGCAGTGTTTTGTTCTGCTGTGCACAGGAAATGACTCAATGGCACCAAACAACAACACAAGCATTACAGCAAATTCTAGAGATGAGTTATTACTGATATTTTCTATCTTTATTACCTATATCCAGACCGAAAATGTAAACTTCTTACATAGTGTTAACTACCCTCCTAACCAAAGTAAAAAGATATAAGGAAATAAAATTTGAGATAAAATCAAAGAACTATAAAGGCTTATTATAGCATCCACTAGTACAAAGAAAAGGAGTCCTGATGGCTTAGCAATGTGATCAGTTCGAAACCACCAGTCGCTCTGCTGGAAAAAGAGACTTTCTTCCATAAAGAGTTACAGTCTCTGAGACCCACAAGGATCATTCTACTATGTCCGATAGTCACTCGGCATTGGAACTAACTCTATGGCAGTGAATTTGAGCTCAGTACAAAGGAGCCCTGGTGGCTTTCTACTCCCTTAAGAACTTAAGAGTCTCAACACCACAGGAACAATTCTACCCTGTCCTATAGGGTCGCTATCAGCCGGAATTGGTTCAATGCAGCAAGTTTGGTTTAGAATACAAATACAAGGAGCCCTGTTGGTATAGTGCATTAGGCAGTGGGCTTTTAAGCACAGTCAGAAGTTTGTACACACCAGAATACACTGTATACAAGACTGCTGATAGAGGGGTTAGCAATCCAATAGGTAACTCACTATGCTACCACAGCCGCTTACTTATAATCTCACTGGCATCAAGACATCGGAACTCAGCAACCCTATAGGACAGGGTAGAACTATCCCTGTGGGTTTCTGAAACTATAACTGTTAATAGGAGCAGAAAGTCCCATCTTTGTCCCACAGAGCTACTGGTGGTTTTGAACTGCTGGCCTTTGAGATCACAGCCCAGTAAGTAACCACTACACCACCAGGAAAACCTCATCTATAATAGCACAGGATAATGTTTTAATCACATTGTTTTGCTATTAGCTAGAATTGTACAGACTTGGTATAGTAACACAGGTTTTACAGGGTGCTCAAGTGCTAGTTATTTAATGCTCAGGTTTACTGCTTTTACTTCTACTGGTAATTTTCAATTGATTGTTTAAATGGGACAAATTATTATGCAAGAGTGGAGTGTACATTATCCTGCCTAAAATTATGCACAATAATAAAATTTAGACAAAATAACTTTTACTGACATGTAACTTTTTCAGTCTTAATAACCAGTAAAATCTTAAAACTTTTCAAATAAAATGGAAATAAAAACTGTCAGCACAGTGAGGATAATACTAACCTACCTCACAAGGTGCTCAAATATTTACCGAGTAAAACACTACGTAAAAGCATTTCATAAAATGAGTCCTATGTAAAACTACTAACAATCATGAAAAGATAATTTACAAATGGTTCTTAACCAATAATTACTTAAATCAAGCCTAAACAAATATTAACCACCAAATTCTAGTTCAGACATATAGGATAACGAGAAAAGTAAAATGTGACCTAATAAAAGTAATGAAACAAATCTAGAAGGTAATAACATTTTGTACAAAACAGCTTGTCTACTTAAAAATCAGCATCATGAAAAGAAAAGGCTATTATTTCCAGGTTAGCTTCTGTTATGTATAAAAGAAACCAAAAAGCTCCTGTTGAAATTGTTGAAATAAATGGTGTCTCTTTCACTGTATATACTTTGACCAAGATGGGAAAAAATTTAAAGGTGAAAAAGATGGTGAAGAAAAGCATAACAGCCAACTACAATGTTTGAGTCTTGATTGGCAGCAGGGCAAAAGTTATAGAATACATTGCAGGGACAATTAAGAAAACTTTAATATAAATTACTTTTCCGAAAACAAGCTATTTACATATTTTATTGGAAATAGATGTTATGTATACGAGATCTTTATTCTTATATAAGAAATATACTCTTTGTAAGATACATCTCAAAAATATTCAGATATACATTTACATAGCAAGTATAAAACATATTTTAAGAAAACAGAGCTCTTATGGTATCCCAAAGACACTAAACAAAGTCTGAGTAACTAGTTAATTATCAATATCTCTACGATAAGTCCATATCTCTGCATAAAAGTATATTTTTAGTTAAGTTTGACACACTGTATTTCTATGCAACCTTTTCTACAATTAACAGAAACATTGCTGTATTGCCATTTAATTACATTTCTTTTTTTTTTTTTTGAGAGATGCAACAGCCTTTATTGTTGTAGCAACACTGATATATATGCCCCATTTCTGGAGGGCCTTCCCCCCACATCCCACCCCTTACCACTGTGAAACTTATTTCAGGGAGGGGCAGGATCCTTAAGGAGAGCTGGAAGAAGGTAAGTGGTGAGGGTTCGGGTCACCCAGGACCAAGGATTCAGCAAGGTTAGGATGCCTGAGCCTAGTATCCAGGTGGGGGCAGCAGGGGACACCTGGGTCTTAGGTTCAAGATTGGGCAATGCCTTGACCTGGGTCCAGAGCTGAGGTAGGGTCTGGAAAAGCCTTGGTCCTGGGATCAAGATATACTCGTATTTAGTCTCCGCTCCCAGCTTGGGGGACAAGAGTGGGGGGGGGAGTGGGTTTCAGATATGGATTAGGGGAGTTCCTCCAGGCCCTGAGTTGCAGGCTGACTCTGGTCTTCAAGCTCCCAGTTTAATGGCTCTGGCCTGGTCTCAGGTTCAAGGCGTGAGGAATGTGCTGGTCCCATAGAGCCGGGTGTGAGGGATACCCCAGCTTGGGACCTAGGGTTGGGGGGATGCTGATGCCCTGCTTTCTGGACTGGGAGAGGGCTTTGGGCCCCAGGTTCTGGCCAGGGTGTGTGGTCCAGGATACGGATCCCAGGTCCCTAGGATCCAGCCTCCTGCTTTTGTCCTAGCGCCTCTAGTAGCAACCCCATTGGCATCCACTTGAGACCAATGCTCTCCATGTTGTTCTCAAGCTTGCTCTTGAGATTGCGCAGGAGCAGTGAAGCGTGCACCAGGATCACAATGACAGAGTTGACATTCTTGGAAGTATTGCATCCAAAGGCAGATAGAGGCAGACTCTGCAGGCACCGTGAGGCTTGCCAGGTTC